AAAGTCTCTTCAATACTATTCATCATTTGCAAGGATACTTTGTGCTCAGGGACAGGCACAGATCTCATGCATTTAACAAGGTGTACCTCAAGGTTCCTCACGTGCTCTTTCACTCACTTTGTGCCTAATTGATGCTCACAACATCTCTATTTTGCCTTGCCCTTTGTGCTTTACTCACTCATCCAGAGATTAAAGGCTCACACTATTTCTGACTCTCCTTGTTTTTTGGCACAAACATAAAGCCAGGCAGTCAGTGGGGTGGACATCGTGTTGTGTGACACCATGTTATATTAATGTCACACATGCATCATGTGCCAGCTGTGTATGTGGCAAATACACTGTGTAGTAATAACCAAATGACCATGTCTCCAAGTCTAAGGGGAGTAGGTCAGGTCAAGGAAGGCAGCCTTCAGGCAATGGGCACCATTACATTAAGTCAAGATCATCATCCGATATCAGTCCAGAAACTTGGACCTGATGAGTTGACCACTTCAGGTGGTCAATGTCAGAGAGTGGGCCACAGTTGGTCCTGCACTGTTACTGCTACCGGTCGAGGGAGTCGTAGTAAGTAGGTGCGGAAGCGGCACAGAAAGCAGTCAGGGGTTAGCTCAATGAAAATCAAGGAAGGTTACCAGAGGTTGTGGTGGGAACATTGGGCGATTAGTTGTGGGGTTTGGAGACAGCATGCTGGGACGCTGAAGGAATAATAGTTGTGCAGGTGGGAAACTCAACATATAAGCATGTGTAATGCTAGTGTTTTGGAGGACATGGATTATTTTGGGAAGGGGAGTCATTGACAGTCGCAACCATACTAGCTTTGCCAAGGGTTCAGTGTAGAATGATGACTAAACTGTAGGTCCAGGGCTCATGGTGGCAGGGGTGGTGCAAAATTGAGAGATAAAGTTTTGATTCACAAATGTTCACGAAAACATGTGGAAGCTCAATACTTGTGAGCTCAACAGAAAGTCCAAGGAAGAAAGGTTCAGTGGTACCTCTTGATATCAGGCAGTGCCAGTGACTGTGCCAAATGTGACCTGCATTATGTTCCATACTCATGCAAAATGTAAATGCACATTGGAAATGGCAAATGACTGTGACCATACCAGTGTGGGTCGAGTGTTTCTTTTCTGCCTGAGAATGAGGACTGTACTTGTGAATAATGAGAAGCCCATCAAGGGGCAATAGCATTGATCAAGCACTTCTGCAGTACAGGCAAAAACATCTGTAATCATAGTCGCAAGCAATGGTCATTGCCTATTGAAATACTTATCTCTGGGAAGCAGTAGTAGTCACAAATTAGTTTAAAACTGTCACATGTGGGCCATAAATCACAGAGACAATTAAAGATTTCATGGGCTGCACAAGGGCATGGAATCTTTCATGGTTATTGGAGTGGGGAACAGGTGGGGTAAAAGGTATCAGAAATTGTACATCTCTTTCAATCTCTGACTGTATTGTGTAACATAGCTTGTGCTGCATTCATCAGAATAAGGTTCCTCTGTTAAAGGTCCATATAAAGGCATTTTGTGGACCTCCTTGTCAGAGTCTTCCGTGTCCCACCATATTGAGGAGTATGCTGAACCATCAAGGGCTAGATGACTTACAAGGATGGGATGATTGCACAATGTTCAGCATCATTCATGACTACTCAAATACTGAAACTGTCTGAAGCAAGAGCTGGGCAACATTCAGACTTGGGGTGATAAGTGACAACGTTTCCACCACTGAAATCCAAAACAATGATTTTCCCTAATTAAAGAGAATCTAAGTAGTTACCCTTGCCATTAAGATTGCTGAATCTCTAACTTTCATCATTTTGGGGTTTACCCTTGAACAGACATATAAAGACATTCACTACAACAGCAGTCAGAGGCTGGCAATTCTGTGGTGCGTAAATCACTGCTGGACTCCCGAAAAGTCTGTCCACCATCTATTAAGTGTAAGGCAGGAGAGTAATAGATTATTCTTCACTTGCCTGTATAAATGCAGCTAAGCAAATTCAAGGAGTTCAGCACCATTAGCACAAAGAAACCAGCTTGATTGGTTCATCTTAAACATTGATTTTCTCCACTATCAAAACATAGAAACAATAGTGTATACCATCTACAAGATGCCCACTGCAACAAGTCACCAAGAATCCTTTGTGAACACTTTTCAAACTCATGAAAAAAAACTAGAAGACAAGGGCAACAAATGCATTGGAATATCACCACCTGCAAGTTCCTTTCTAAACCATACAACATCCTGACATGGATGTCTGAAGAAGAGTCATTGGGCTTAAAATGTTAACTCTGCTCCCCCTCCAAAAGGTGCTACCAGACCTGGTGCATTTCTCTAGCAGTTTCTGTTATTATTTCAGATTTTCAGCATATATAGCATTTTGCTTTTATTATCCTCACTTGGAACTGTAATGCTGTTCTGCCACTGTTAGTGAATCAAGATCCTGGAACTCCATTCCTAACAGCACAGTGCTTGTATTTACACTCCAAGGACTGCAGCAAAGAGCCAACTCAGAGACAGTGAGCTCCTTCTGCACTGTAACAATGCTGAAGTGCAATGATTTTTGAAATTGTGCTACAGTCAAACATTTGTGCCATGTCATTATATCATGGCAACACCTCTAGTTTCCCATGATATAATGGACATCTAGACTTGTAACCATGATCAGCATTTGTTGACTTGTCTTTATAAAATTTACACAAAAGCTTTGAGGATACCTTTCTCTGATATATCTTCCATACTCAAACATTGTTTGCAAACAAATCATCAAGTGCACTTTTTCGATACAGTATAAATTGTTGTTCCCTTTGACATTTGGTATTGTGTCCTGATGAATACAAGATGAAAAGTGTTCACAGCGTGTCTCTTTTTTTATCAATACTAAAGTGTACAAATCTAATCATGATAGGAGACTGTATAGTTGGGGGACAGACTGGTGTCCCATTACTGTCATCATGAAGCTCAATGTTATGCTGCCCCCTGGTGGTGGAGAAAAGGATATCATGAAGAAGTTGGAAAATATTCTGCAGCGAGTAAGAATTAAGCCAGCAGTTATGGTACGCATGTAGACAGAATAGATATTGAGGTCCTAAACTTGGATCTAGGGTTGATGTTAAAATTTAGAATCTCAAAAATAGCAATCTACGGATTATTCCCAGCGTTATGTGGCAGCAGGAACAGAAAATGTAGATAGGTAGAATCATGCATGGGTTGAGGCATAGCACAGGAGCAAGAACTTTAAATTCTTGAGAAAATGAAACTAGATCTGGCTCGAAAGGTCCCAATTCAAATGGGACAGATTGCACTTCAACTGGACTGGGACCAATGTCCTTGCAAAAAGGTAGAAAGGAGAAATAAGTGGTAGTAAAGAGTGATTGACAGTACAAAAGATGGAAATAGTTTAATGTTAAATGAAAACAGACTAGGAATTATTGTAAGGAATATAAATACGGATTTAGAATATACCCGTGTAAATCAAAGCACAGTGGATAAGGTTGTTTCTCCACAATCAAAACATAGAAACAGCAGTGTATACCATCTACAAGATGCCCACTACAACAAGTCACCAAGAATCCTTTGTAACCACTGTTCAAACTCATGAAAAAAACTAGACGACAAGGGCATCAAATGCATTGGAATGTCCACCACCTGCAAGTTCCACTCTAAACCATACAACATCCTGACATGGATGTCTGAAGAAGAGTCATTGGGCTTAAAATGTTAACTCTGCTCTCCCTCCAAAATGTGCTGTGTGGGAATATGATATAGTGAGATTAACAGATGGGTAGCAGCATCAATTTATACTACACTGCACCACTGGCACTGTGTACACTTTAAAGAATAACATACAGGTGCAAACTACGTGTGGTGAGTCACTGGCTATGATTGCACTACAGAAAGGGGGAAGAGGATAACATTAAACACAGACAAATTCTGATGCAGTGTTAGTTGAGGACTTTGATGGTTAGCCTTCCAGATACTGATGATCATGCACAATGAAATGCTTAGTTCATTAACAGGCCTGCCATAGACCCTATTGTAAAGAAACATTAAGAAGTTTAGCTCCAGTTAGGAACAAGCCTGCATGCAGGCCTTGGTGACAATTAGTTTTCAAATGGAAATGGCAACCAACTCCATGAAAGTGCTTGTGAACTCAGTCCTGATGATTCATTTAGGGGCAAGTGTCTCAGCTTTCCTAGCAGAACAAGCAGAAGCCACACAACATTTCAACAATCCCACAATTTGTACTTGAGAAGATGACCAAGACTACTGAGGCAACTGAGCAGTAGCTCTGCTTTGAAAGGCCTATTGTCAATTCTGAAGAGGAAAGTATTGATTTTTTTTTCAGCCAGTCCAAATTGATGTCATCCGTGACATGGTGCAGTCTAAAACTAAGTCTTGAAGCCCAAAGCTGCATGAAGGCATCCTGAAAGGTCATTTGCAATCTTTCACATCTGTAAGGACCATATCTTTTTTTCCCAGTTTCAATTGTGGACTGAGATGGGAAAAGAATCTGTTTTAAAAGCCAAGAATTGTTGAAGGATTGCTATACCTTTTAAAAGCAAGGGACTTGACATTCATTGTAAGTGATGCTTGCACAGCTGCATTTTAAGCAGGAGTGAAAGCCTGTGGACTTTTTTTATTACAAATAAATAGTCATTCTTCTTCTGTACAGAAACCTAGTCAGTGCTGTCTGTCAACCTGGGTCTAAAAGACAGATGAACCGGGGAATTTTCTGTACTGCTTAAAATCTTTAACTTTTATGATGCTCCTGGGAATAGCAATATTTGATTTTCAGCTCACTACCCATGTGAGGTCTGACATACTGACAATCTGTCACTATAGTAGCTCTGCATGGAACACTATGACAGATAAAAACGCAAGTAAGACAGGTACTAAACATTGCACAAGGATGATTTGTTCTGTTTTGTATGTATTATTGGAAGTGTTGCTGGATAAAGTTATTAAGAAATCATTTTTTGTGCTATGTTGTATTTTAGGATTTTGCACAAGAGGGCAGAGTGATGATCAGTAACAGACAAATGGAAGTTAGGAAGTCACCGTAATGCCGAGTACCCACTGAAGAGAAATTGAATCTGATAAGGCACTCCACGTAATCTGCTGGACCACAGATATTTGCTGAACTGCTGAAAGAGCCTGCACTTAGAGCAATGGTATCCACAGTTTGTTGAAGGATTACTGCCAGAAATGGGTATTCTGTGGTGGCAGAATCAGCAAAGTTATAGAGCTGAAATGTGCGGTTATTGTCTAGGCAGATCCAAAGACAATTAGAAGTTAATTATTGTTATTTCTGGAACTTCGCCAGCTACATGGCCACTCTTCTTGTATCTTAAGAATCTCACCAGTTATCTCAAGGTCATAGGAAAACAATAGGAAAAGGTGATTTCTCTGTTTTTATGTACATTTTTCCTTGAGAAAAAGTGGTCGGTTGTGATTTATCAACGGTTTCTATAAAATGTGCCAGCTGTGATGTGATGCTTGCTTTATGATGGATGCTACCAGCATATTTACATAAAAGGCCAGGAAATGTGTAAATCTAATGTCCTGAACTGTTTAAAAGCTTGGCCTACATGTGTAAGTACAGTGGAAACATTATATGATAAAAGGTTGAATTTAGCCATTGTGCAGTATCATTCACTACTGTTTGTCTGGATACATTTTAACAAAATTAAATTAAAACATTGCATTTTTTATTTAATATTTCTGGAAATTAAGGCACATTTCATAGAACTGGGTTTACCTCAGATGAAGAATTTATGTAAAATGGTCTGACAGATATCCAACAACAATGTCCCGCTGAGAGCCATTGAAGCTCATCACAGATTCATGGCCCCTGCCAGAAAAATCAACAAGTCTCAGCGGTTCCTGTGTTGCTACTTATGATGTACATGGATAAGCGATGGTTTATTATTTACAGATTTGCCAGGATCTTTTATATTTATCATTAGTTATGCATTTTCTATACAAAAAGAAAGATAATATCAATATATTCTACAGTGATTTCCAGTACTAACAATGGAACTAAGCAATGGAAGGGCACTTGATTCCCCATCAGTACTTGTGATCCAACTGGATACTGGGGCTAAAATCATCACCATGAATTTTCTCTGTGAAGCAACAACTTCACAGAAGCATATTTGAGGAAAAAGTGACATTGAGTCAAAGGAGGTTTTAAGACAAATGACTAAAAGTTTGATCAGAGGACTAAGCTTTTAGCTCCATCTTAAAAGAAGAGATGGAGGAGGAAAGGTTAACGGGGATTTCAGTATCTAGGGCCTCACTTCTGCGTGGGGGAATCAAGGATAACAGGGAAAAAGCAGGAAAGTGAATGTGAGAAATGTTGGAATGACAGAGCAGGCTCACGGGGCCTGCCTCCTGTTCCTGTCTCTTATGGTCTTATGTTACACACCCAGTTTACCATTATACAGTAAGGATGAGAGGGAGGAAAGAATGGACAGGGTATGTTGTTGAATAGTTTGAGGTGCAGTATGGGGAGAAGAGGCATGTGTGAAACAGGAATACTGAACATATAACATGAATGCACATGTTGGGCCAGGAGAGCTTTTACTATGCTCTAAAATTCCATGTCGTCTTTGGGTGACTAAATGCATGGCCACCATACATAAACCAAACATTAATTCGCTCACAAAAACTAACAATTCTAACAGTAAATCTTCCAACAAAGTAAAATATCAACATGCATGCAATATATCTCTTATATATAAAGGGGCAGCTACATCTAAACCTTAATTTCTGTAATGTGTTAAGTTTTAGTTAATTAACCACACTAGACAGTATAGATTTTGAATTTCATGAACCAGTGACTTTCCTTAGAGTTTTGGTCTGTATTTTAATCTGGCAGGTTGGACAGATGTCAATGCAAGTGAGAGGCTAAAGAAGCAAACAGTTGCTCAATGTTGGTAAGCCAACAAGAACCTGCCAAGTTCAGTATTTATCGCATTCTCAAGAAATTGTTAAATTTTTAGATATTAAAGGCATCAAGGAGTATGAAGAAAAAGTGGGAATATGATGTTGAGATAGAAGGTGAGCCTTGATCAGACTGAATGGTGGAGGAAGCTCGAAGGGCTAAATAGCCTACTCCTATTCCCAGTTTCTGTACACACAGAAAAAAAATCCAATTGGACAGGCAGGCCTCACATTTGTCATATAGCAAAAGATAACTGACTGCATCTTTAACATTGAATTCTGGTCTTAACAGCCAGCACACAGTTTTGCAAACTTCTGAAGCTCCCCATGTTGAACAAGAAAAGGAAACAGTAGGAACTAAGAAATTGATGGACTGGAAAACAGTTAAACATAGAGATAACAAGGTGCAGGGCTGGATGAACACAGCAGGCCAAGCAGCATCATAGGAGCAGAGAGGCTGACGTTTCGGGCCTAGACCCTTCATCAGAAAACATAGAGATAAGATGTCTGTTTCCTTGTCTAAGGAAATGACTTTAGCTTATAAGACTAGTTCTTGTGTTCATACCTGAAAGGGTTAATTGACAACACAAGATAAATTCTACTCATCAGGATATGAAAGACTAATTCCGGGAGAGGCCAGTTGGTGTGTATATGTCCAATGAATTCTGCTCACATTCAGCAGAGGGTGTATAGCACTTCAGTGATTGTTCATAATGTTAACAGCATATAGCTGAAACTTAAATCTTAAATGAACCTACTTGTCTCACAAGAGACAATGCTGTCTCTTAGCTGCAATGTATCTCGAGTATTTTGTTTTAGTCTTATCCTGTTTAATGAAGATCAAGCCTATCCTATGCTAATGATATGAATGGGCATCTTCCCCACATGGAATAGGTCACTTAAACTGATAGCAGCAACAAGGAATGGGGCAGTGCATCCACTTGAGGCAGCCCAGATGCTTCCAGCAGAACCCAACATACACAAGCGTTTTGAAAGAGCACTGTCACTGTTTTAGAAGTAACTTCTCATAATTTAGCAAATTTTCTTTCCTGCTACTTTGGATTTTTTAAAAAACTTTAATCACATCTCCCAGCTTTCAAGTCTTCACTGCAGCGTGGGAGATGCTTATGTAACTCTACCTTGAATCTCTAATGAGCAGCAGGAGAAGCAACAGCAACACTGACAGCACCACGAGCAACACCCAGCAGGAACAGCTTCAGCCTTCTGCAGCTACTTGTCACTCCACAAGGGGTGAACATAAAACTGCAGCTTGCAGGAGGCAATTCTCACAGCATTTGGGATACAGAGATGGGAGCGGACCACACTCAGACAGCCTTAGCAGGGTGTTAGCATTTTCAGCCTCCTGGATGAAGACCTTTTGCCAAGGTGGCGATGTTGGCATGTTTTATCAGTGGCAATCAAGATCACCACAACCTTCCAACTTCTTCACATTCAGCTCCTCCCAGGGATCTGCCGTTGACATCTGCAAGGTTTCGTAACCTGCTGTTCACAAGCATAGCTTGCGGGTGATAAATGCCTGCACTGCCACTACCTCTGTCCACTTTGCTACTAATGAATCAAATCACCCTGTAAATGGATATAGGTCGTTTAAGAGACTATATTTTAAAACTGGCAGATGGTGTAAAATGCAGGAAACAGGGAAGTTGTTCACTTTTGTAGGAAGAATAGATAAGCAGAATACTATTTAATTGAGAGAAATTGCAGCATATGCTGGGGTTCTTGAGAGTTCTGGGGTTCTTGAATATGAATCACAAAATGTTAACATCAAATACAGCAAGTAATTAGGAAGGCAGTTGAAGAATTGGCCTTATTGCAAGGGAGATGGAGTATAAAAATCAGGAAGTCTTGTTACAACTGTACAGGGCATTGGTGATATTTAGAACACTTGCTTTGGAGAAAATGTAATGAAGCCTCTCTGGGCTAATTGCTGAGATGAATAGATCATTTATGTTGAAAGGTTAAACAGGTTGGGCTCATACTCATTGCAGCTCAGAAGAACGATGTGATATTATTGAAAAAACAAGATTTTTAAGGAAGCTTAACACCGTGGGTACTGAGAAGATGTTTTCCCAGTTTCAACATTAGGAGTCACCCATCTAATATGCAGAAGATATTTCTTCTGTCAATGGAGATTGTGCCATTGGATATCTTCAAAGCTGAGTTGGGTAGATTTTTGATCCATGAAGATGCCTAAGGTTATTTGAGCCAGACAGGAAAATGGATTTGAAATCACAATCAGATCAGATATGATCTTATTGAATGATGGAGCAGGCTCAGTGGGAATGGAGAATCTGCAGGGGGGAGACCTTGTGGAAGGTGCCAAAGGTGAAAGGATGCAAGTTATCAAATCATGAAATCATTCAGTGCAGAAGAGGCCCTTCAGCCCATTGAGCTCACTTAAATACTTTTTAAAGGTTGAGAAGTTTCCCACATCAACTACCCTCCCATACAGGGCATTTCAGACCCAACCACACTCTGGGTGAAAACACCTTTCCTCTAATCCCCTAAACTCCCCTCAAATTAATTCTAATCCCTCTAAACCTCTTGCCTTTCACTTTAAAATAATGCTTCCTTGTCACTGATTCTTCAACTGAGGGGAACAGCTGCTTTGTATTCACCCTGTTCATACCCCTCATAATGTTATAGACGTCTATCAGGTCCCCCCCTCAACATTCCCTGCTCCAAAGAAAACAATCTGAGCTTATCCAGCCCCTCTCGCTGAAATGCTCCATGCCAGTCAACATCCTGGTGAATCTCCTTTGTGAGTCTGAATGTTTGCTACCTTTATTTACCCATAGAAATTCAACAATTATGAATTGATTACTTTTTTAAAAAGACGTTTAAGCTTTTGTCACCACCAGGTTAATTGCTCCTATACAATGTAATGTGCTTGAGTGCACATGGAATTGCCATAACATGGCATGGGGGATATAGAATCATAGAATCAGATACCAGAATTCATAGAATCCCTACAGTGTGGAAACAGGCCCTTCGGCCCAACAAGTCTACGCCCATTAATTCATAGAATCCCTGCAACGTGGAAGCAGGCCCTTCGGCCCAACAAGTCCACACCGACACTTGCAGCATCCCACCCAGAACCATCCCCCCTATAAGCCTCCTAAACTACACATCCCTGAACACTATGGGCAATTTAGTATGGCCAATCCACCTAGCCAGCACATCTTTGGACCGTGAGAGGAAACTGGAGTACCCGGAGGAAACCCACGCAGACACAGGGAGAATGTGCAAACTCCACACAGACAGTCGCCTGAGAACCCGGGTCTCTGGCACTGTGAGGCAGCACTGAGCCACCGTGCCGCCCCAAATGTGTATGAAGACAGTCCAGCTTTTTATTAAACTCACAGTTCACAATCCAGTCTACGTTGTGAGCCACAGTCTGCATGAGGAGAACATTTGAAAAGTAACATCAAAAGCTCCTCCTCAAACCCCCCACCTCCCAGCAATGTCTCCCCACTCCATACTGAGTTATACCCGCCAACCACCCATTCTGGCCCTTCAAGAGCCCTACCCCAGACATTGGCATTTCCAAGCTCATTCAGCCACTATAAAGAAGAATTTACCTACAGCGATAGTAGTTTTAGTAAATAAAATTGTAGAAGAAGTTAATTATTCATTATTTTCCACCTTCTTAAAATAAACTGTTTAGA